AGATATTTTGAATAGCTCTACATGTTAAATCGTTCAGGCCACTTTTGAGACATGCGAAATTTTAATTAATCTTTTGTTCAAATAGAATATTAGATATTCTACCACAGAATATCTTCTAATATGCAAAATAAATTTATTTACTGTAGTCCAATTGAGACTTTCTCTAACACGAAATTGTGACGTATGATAATTTCTTCGTCATTTTTAAAGTAGTAAATGCAGTAAAACGGTATAAAGCATTACACTTAGATATCTGAAGTTATAGAAAATTTAAGGTTCTGGTAATTCATATAGAATAATATATTCATCTATAAGCTACGCGACACAAATAAGTGTAACACTTTTATCACTTTCATTTTTTCACATATTTCATAAAACAAAACTGTTTTATATACAATTTATATAATGATAATAATATGCACATCGAGCGTTGCCATTTTTTTGAAATGTCGGACAAACAATAAATAATGATTATTAAAAATTACCAAACAAACATCCCGAGAAATTCGACAATTGAAAGTAAGTCCAGCGGCAATGGTCCTTTTGAAAAATTCAATAATCGAGAAGACAGTTATCGATTAGAATTTATCTGCAAATTTATTTGCCACAACATCTTGAACTTGTACAAATAGGCGAAATTATCCGATTTGTCATTCGATCGGGTAATTATCACGCTAATGAGCAGTTTTGGTGCGTACCAACTGATTCGAAGTGCCTTGAGGCCATCACTAGTCGAGGGGGCTCCCTCTTCAAGAGAACGAGCAGGAGAGACCGATTCCGTGGCGTGCAGGACAGACAAGGCAGCGGGAGAGAACGAAACGTACCACGGTCTCGTGGATTCTGCCTGCACTCTGCGACCATTCCGCAGTAACACGTCGTCCAAGTCGGTTTCGCAGCGTACCTCGGTCCCTGGCCTCTTGCCACGAGGCAGCACCACTCCTTGAGATGCTCTAAGAACCGATCCGCTCGAAGGGAGGACCAACTACTTCCACCGATCTTACCCGCCTCTGTTTAACCTTCGTCAAACGATTTCAGCTGCCGAAAAAATCCTTCGATCGCGAAATTTCACGTTCCAAATATGGTTCGGCTTCCTTGAACTTCTCACTCTCGTAATACTGCTAACCCGTGGTGGTGAATGGTGAACAAGACTTGGACGAGTTTCGCGTCAAAGGACATCCTATCGGCCGATGATTTTCGACACATTTTTCAAGGGTGGGAGAGTTGTTACTCTTTCGTGCGCGAGTGTTGTTTTGAAACGGTGCGTAACCCTGTCGTGGTGACGTTTCATTTTTGAATCAATGAGAATGACAAGCTTCGAAGAAGGTCGAGAGGATTGTAGCACGGTGAACGACGTCTATGGACGCTCGGAGGAGCGGAAGTGACAAGAATCTTTTGGTGTTTGAAGAGCTCACAGGATGATCGAGAATTACAATGTGTTTGCTCATCGGTGCTTCGAGTGACTGTTTTGGGTAACACTTCCGCGACCGGTTGTTCGGCAAACAGGTGATTGCTGTTTCATTTTATGATCAACGCTTCTTTTGTTTTTTTCCTATTTCATTCTTGTACATACCAGTAGTGAACTGCAATTCTCTTCAAGTTTTTATTTCATACGATCGGCATAGTTCTTAATGTTATCGTGATGTTAATGAAAATTAATTAATGTAAATCCGAATGAATATAATAAAAATCTGAATATCAATCAGAGAAGAAATTCTGATAGACATATTTATGTATTGTCGAATTACTATGACTATTAAATTTCGAGAAAATATGATGGAAATTGTATTGCTGCTAGTTTAACAAAGCGTTAACTATAATACATAATTACTTTTAATATAAATATCTCGATATGCAATTGATTTTATAATTCGGTGCTCTTATTATTTCTTTCAAAGTTTATTTATATTTTATTAACATATTATTTCATTACTAGACAATTTTTTTTTTGTTATGTGTACTTTTATCGAGAAATTGTGGGAGAGGTGTATTTTAGATTAAGAGCTAGGAATTAATACAGAACATAAGTCAACCTTTAGCAAGCCTAATTAATTTATTTGTTCTCTAATTTGTTTTACATTGGTAAAACATACTTCTATTCTACTAATAAATGCAAAACAATCGTTTTATTGAAGTTAACATACTTACGATCTTTCGAAAGCATACAATATTACACTTTGAGCAACATATTGTTTCTTTGAAATTAAAATTCGTTAAAAGTAAATACTACTTTTAATTTTTGCATTTGAACAAACAAACTTGTTTCCCATTAATTGTTCAGTCACCTTGAAACCAAAATCTGTGAATTCTCTTTGTAAAGAGGTACGAACATCAAATTTTTCTTTTATTACCCTCGTTTGTTTGCTACCTGTTAGAAAATGACAATAAGCAAATGATTTAACTATAATAGCATTAACATAGTGAATTGTAGATATTTTGCCCATCGGCTCATGTCTTCTTTACTTAATACAATATAAAATAACTTCCAATATTTCTTATTACGACCGATTGTACCGAGTACACAGTTATACTATACTGTACTCCAACGTTTTATTTTTACAACGAAAGTCTAGGAAGGAAAGTAATAAGCCAGTTTGAAAGCAAAGATTTTTCTTCATTCAAAGAGATTTTCACCGGTAAATTATACGAGTAAGTGTTTTGATACTTAAAATGAGATATGAATCGCACCATATGAAAAATGATGAGTTTGCCGGCAAAACCGGAAATCTAAAGAACGATTCGATGAAAGTGAACCGACACGCGTTATTATTGGCATCAATTTAAAAGCAAGTGCCGCTCTGTGGTTCTCGCCGATAAAAAAGTGAAGCGGTGCCCGATCTTGCTGAAGCAATAATTAACTCGTCCTTAACTACTTTGGATACACCTGGTTCGGTGAGTAACCGTTTAATCGGTTTAATCGGGCATAATAATTAACTATCGATAATGTAACCTTGCCTTTATTATTAATACGTTAATGTTGTAATAACGAACTGGTGTCGATAGAATTACATATACGTGGACAAACTTTTTCCATTTAAAGTGATTATACTGAAATATTTTTAACGCACACCCTTTAACCCTTCATTATCGGTCTCAAGTTAATAATATTATATATAGTATATAAATACCATTTTTTGTTCGGGAGGTCGAAATTAAATTAAATAAAAAAATTATATATATATATATTTCTATTTTTAAATTTGTCAACTTTATCTAAATGTTTAAATTCTGATTTTCTCTTAATTTTTGTAAAATAATACGAGTAATTTAGTAAGTCATTATAAATAAATTTAACAGCATATATACATATATGTATACTTCACCCATTATGCTATGTTAATTATTTAGATCTCTATATCTCATTTGTACTATCATTAATAGCATAATAATATTAACGATAATGATAATAATAATACATTTACATAAAGGAAGAAAAATTGCTAATTTATTTTATAATTAGCTTCGATCTTTCGGAATGTTCTTTCATCGTAAAAGTGAGGAGAATCATTATATTGTCCGTTTGACAAGCGGATACGCATATCGAAACATTGAATCGCGTTTCAATGCGGCTCGACTGAAGGCAATTTATTCTAGGAACAATGTCTTGTTGAATTTTAAATGGCTGGTGTTATCGAAACTAGTCCATGTAGTTTGAAAACTGCAACTGCTCTATCTGGTTTCGTTGCATTCGTGCCGCGTTCATAAATAAGGAAATGTTAGACTTGAGGCAATAAAATAGTTGACATGTTAATTATATTAGCTTCCAGATTCTTTGATGTACTTTTACAAAGTTTTATTACATAAAGTGTCTAAAATTTTAGGGACATACATGGGGGGGAGTAAAAAATGGGTCTATGTAAAAAAAAGGAAGAAAAAGAAGTATATACATATATACATACGTAATATATATTTATACATTATGCAATATTGTAATGTATATTTTTGTTTTATGAAAGATATGCAAAGTGTTACTTGAAAACAACGCTTATGCTACAAACCGTATTAGATTGCTGGTTGAAAACCGAATGTCCGTGGATGACTAGCAACACTTGTCTGTTAAATTATTTACGGATTTTGAATTCATCTATGAACACTTGATTTTCTCTAATAATAACACAGAACATACTACAAAGACTTAAAACAGATTATACTTCGCAAAACGATATTATTGTTTGGGCTAGATATTACTATAGATTTTACAAGAACAATTTCTCGTATGCACTAATTTATTTGTTTGCAAGGCAGTAACATATTCACTGTGCATCTTACAAAGTTGATGTATCAGAAACAAAAATTTGTCTTTAATAAATAGTATGATGAAAAATTAGACGTGTATACACTGCTAAAAACAATTAAAGGATCACATAGTACAGCCATTGACACAATGGCACAATCAACACGGCTTGTCATTTCTGGAAATTTTTTTTAAAAACAAAATTCGGTGTTAGAAATACATGTTTATGTAACAGAACATAGCTCTGCTACCTCAGTTGACTGCTGTCATTGAAAGGCAAAATGTCAGAGTAATTCTGCCATGTCGAAAATCTTTTTTTTTCAGTTTTGTTTAATATTGTCTTAAATTCAAACTTCTTCATAGTACGAATAATCATCATGATAGATGTTAATCTATCAAGCTTGTAGTATTTTTTCTCTTCCTTGCTCTTGGATGGCATAACAGTATCGTTCACAGTAACGATCTTCTAATTGTTTTGAGCAGTGTACATTAAAAAATGAAGACTTGGGTAATACAAATGTTATATTACACTTTCGATTCGTTTTTATGTGTGAAATGATGTCGATTGTAAGTACGTTGTTTCGGTAACTTCCTTACTGTGTAACAGATATTCAACGCTTCGGCCCTTTTATCAGCAAATACAGATTGCTTTTAAGTTGTAAACGCTGAAAGTTGTTCGGTACGGATTATAGAGTAATACGTTGTAACAACAGTCGTTGGAAAATCTGCGGGAAAGTGGTCCAGAGGCGTTGGGCTTAAATCTTCTACGTTTAAGGTTCGTCGCAATATTGGCCTTAGAAAACGATGCTTTTCCGATGTTTTCTCTTTTCGTAGACGCGTATTATTATTTCGCTCGCTGGAGATACTCTAATTCACTTGTACATAAACATTGATAGGGAAAATTAACGTTTACTTGTATGTTACTTGTATAGTACACTTTACACGCTCCTTTTTTTAATTTTGTATACTTTCCATGTTCTTACTTTTATTACCATTAGTACTGGACAATAGTACAGCTCATTTTTAATTAAACATCTTTTATTCCAAACGTGAAATACTTTAAACGAACGTGTTTCGATTTCCATAGTGTAAAATGGTCATGTGAAATCGTAATACTGCAAATAACAATCGTATATTAGGTCATAGTTCGTGTCGAAAGCGAAAAATATTTTGACGAAAATCCAAGGAAATTCTATAGTGACGACATAATGATCTCATCGACAAAAGTTGTGGAACGAGAACGCGCTTACGTTCTTATTTTTTATCAAATTTAAAGGTTTGTTGGAAATATTGATCTAAATTATAAAATTCGACACGATCTTATGAGATGACCTAATGCTTTACCATATTCTTTTATAGTCTTATATACGTAATATTGATGCCACGCTATCTTTTTGTTACAGTATCATAAATCACATTGTTATTACATTTGCTGTGCTGTAACGACACTGTACTTAAGTACCGTCAGATATTTTCTTTGTTTAAGGAAAACCCTTTTCGCAGCAATCGTTTTCCATATTATATTCAAACGGCATGTGCAAATTACACTCGTGTCTTCAAAAAGTATACTGTCAACAACTTGTATGTGACTTTTTCTTCGTATCGAACCTGTTAGTGCCCGTGAAAGGATCTCGTCAGCAATGAATCAATATACATATACGGTGCTATTTGGCATTGGTCGATAAACGTTCTTGTTAAGATAACTTTCGTCAGTGTGGTATAGGAATGCGACGTGGCATCGATCAGTCGACAAAGTTTGTCAGATAAACGTTTGCGTCTCTGAATGCCTCCCGATGACTACTGCAGCAATGATTTACCAGACGCGAGAGAGATTAATTGCCGCGCACTTTTAACGAGGCTTGCTGCTTCTGTGCCGATAATTGTTCACCTTTTATTGTACTTCCGTCTCACTGTTGTGCCTTGCTATTGTGCATCTTGCAGCGAGAACTTCTAAGTAAGCTTTCTTCTTTCAGAAAAATTAAAAAAGAAATTAATTGTTGCTGAACTGATCTTACAATGCAAGACTTCTTAAAAATTTTAAGATCTATTATATTTACGTATGTATTATGTATTATTGTTTCTTCTTTTTTTTTTTTTGAGAAAGTGTTGAACGACATTAAATTTCCATTAAAAAGCAAATATACTATATGTTTTTAAATTGTACTTTGAACATTATTATTTTCATAATTTGATTTAATTTATACAAAAACCAATACTTGAAAAAAAATTCGAATCTTGAAATTGATACATTTCTAATTTAACAACTGTTTTT